CAGTTCTTCCTCCCAAATTTATAGATCGCATCGATCAGTTCCTGCTTTGTGACGGGTTTAGCAGTTTTCCAAACATAGTCTTTCAGCGAATACCAAACCATCTCTATCGGATTTAGATCTAGGAATTCGGCTGGAGTTTTCACCCAGTTCACTACTTCTGCTACAAGCCTCGATCTTGCTGCTGTGTATTTCGGATCATTGTCTTGAACTTCCTCGAAGAATTCACGATCCATAATTCCTTCGAAAATAAGAAGTGGTCCCAGGCCTCTTCTAGATATACCCCCCTAGACATGAACCTTCAGTGGATGTTTGGGCTTTGGCTTGTCCAATGTCTCGTGTTGACTTCCCCTTTCTTTTCATCTTCATTATTTGGTGTGAGAGAGTCTTTGTGATTTTGGCCATAGTCTGTCTCCTTACCAAAGTGATACAGTGGTGCAGCTTGAAGTCTGTACCTGTATACAGTATTGTACAGATAAAACTTACACCATGAGATAATACCAGGGAAAGACACTCCTATTTTATTTAAAACACAATACGCCAGGAAATGTGTCTGATGCATTAGCAAGTAAAAAAAAATTGCGTAGAAAACCCGGGAGTAACAGATGTTTCCTTTTTCTGATCACTAACTGTCTGGATACTCATCTCACCCTGTTCTTTGTTTTCTTGTTATTTGCTGATTATGCCTGCTGCGATCCACTCCTGCCCTCACACCTAAAGAAGACTATTTTAAATTTCTTTGCTAATACATTTCCGGTCTTTTCAAAGTATGTGCTGTCCTTTGACAAAACAAGGCTCGCCAGATAATGTGAAAAAGACACAAATCGAAACCTGTTTTTCTAGCTTTTAAAGTCGTGTGAAGTGTAAGGAGGAACACATCATTATATCTTACATATGAATAATACATAATATAGTTCCCAAACAAACGCAAACGTGTTTTTAATAAAATGCTTTTATTCACTTATAATCTGACAATTTCAGGAAGACTAAGGAAGGACTAAGGAAGTTGTCATCTGTTGTTGAAGCTCTGTGAGCTCGGTGACTTTGAGACCACTTGTTATCCCAAGTTGTTTGAATCGCCACAATTCAAATAGAGAAAAAAGAGCTGACTGACAAGATTTAAGATGTGGCTGTCAATGTTAGATTAAAAAAAAAACACATTGCCCGACGTTAGTTACATTGCTTGAAAAATAATGTTATTTCAAGAGACTGGTTAAGTAATTTAAGTGTTTTTTAAATAGTAATAATTTAACAATATGTGCAAAATATTCAGCTAGTGTGTATTGTCTGTTTAGGGGTTCTGTAGCATTCCACACGGCTGGACAGCTTGTTCTCCCCTCCCGCCCCTCTCTGAGTACAGTAGAACCTCCTGTACTGGCTGGACAGGAGGCTCTACTGTACACAGAGAGGAGCGGGAGGGGGGGACAAGCTGCCCAGCCGTGTAGTTGATGCTGATACCCTGTATTCTCTCCAGACACAGCTGTATGGGTCCACCATCCAGGGCAGGAGGCTCTACTGTACACAGAGAGGGGCAGGAGGGGGGAACAAGCTGCCCAGCTGTGTGGTTGAAGCTGATACCCTGGATTCTCTCCAGACACAGCTGTATGGGCTGTATGAGCTCCACCATCCAGGACAGGACCCTCTACTGTACACAAAGAGGGGCAGGAGGGGGGGACAAGCCGAAACATACTCTTTAATTAATAGGGAATATAATATAAAAATATAGTACTAAAAATAAGATACATTCTACAGACATTCACAACAGCGACTGTCAGAAGATAGGACACAGCGGCTCAGACACCTGCTGAATGGAAAGGGGCACAGTACGGCTAAGATTAAAGCCAATAATTTAATATTCTTTTCTGTATGTTTAACAATAGTGGGTACTGGCCTAATTCAGCCGTGCACCCGTTGTTAGGTGTTAATGTGTTGTTGTTAAGTGTGAATTTGTACCTGTTTCCCTGAGGTCAGGTTTTTTTCTGGAAAACTATAACTCTGGTCTGACAGTGCTGCTCCAGCAGTTCCAGGTTCTGCCGCAACCTATGTTCTGTGGGCGACAGCAGGACCAGGTCGTCTGCATAGAGCAGGAAATTGATTTCTGTAATTAATGCAGATCAGAAAATCCAGGAACAAAACAAGTATTGTGCCCGGCTCCTCAATAGGATAGCTTTGACGTGCTAATGCGTTGGTTTAACAGTCCGGGTGTGGCATGTCTCCCAACTTCGGCAAAAGGAACCTGCCTTACATTGGAAGACAATGAACACATTCTAGCTGTACATGAGAATATAGCATAAATACACCAAGGGATTCAGGGTGCTCTGTGGCTCGACACCCATCCCCCCAGCCACATACTCCCTAACCCTTCACAGCTGCGACTGCCCAACACCTCCTCCATCCCCCACAGCTGCCACTCTCCAACACCTCCGCCATTAATACCTGCAGCACTAAAAGCCCTATGAGCACCATCCCCCAGGCCAGGCTGATCATCACGGCTGACCAGGTGAAGAGGGGAAAAAAAGCCTTTCTTGATTTCTCCTAGTTTCGAGTTCCTAGTTTCTCTAGTTCCCTTTAAAATAAACTTAAACAACAGACTTTTTAAATAACAGACTGTATGTTTACATAGATACTGAAATGAGGATTGTATTTTAGATTTCATGTAGTTGCTAACATTGAACTGTGTGTTGGATGCACATTAATTGAAGGAATGGGGCCATATCATGGTGGGTTTCTAACACTGTGTATAGTTGCATCCACACAGTGCCTTTACTTCCATCTATTTTCTAATCTCTTTATCCAGTACAGAGGATTTGGAGCCTATCCCAGTAAGCAACAGACATAAGGCAGAATACACCCTGGACATAGCGCCAGTCCATCACAGGACAGACAGACACAAACACACACACACCAGGGCCAGTTTTTCCATAAACCAATTAACCAGCCAGTATGTTTTGGAGTGCGAGAGGGAGTCATATCACACATATGGAGAAAAAACATGTAACCCAGAGAGAACATGCAAACCCCCCACACACAGGACAGCAGGATTTGAACCTAGGACCCCAGTGCTGCAAGATAGCAATGCTAACCACCTTGCCATCATTTGAAATGGATTAATATTTTAGTTATCTTTCTAGTTCACAGGTTTGCATGCATAATTTAACTTTGAAAGCCACTGAGACATCAGGTACTACTGTTGTATTTATGAAAAAGAAACAAAACAAAAAGCATACTAACAACTGTGCCATCCTACTCCTTAGTTAATACATTTTAGTATTTATAAACATTTAACATTGTTAGCAAAATATTTTGAATTATATTTTACCCTGTTTTTTCTTTAGTTTTGTATATAACAACAACTTATAACAGTGCTAAATTCAATATTATTGATTACTAATAGTTTATGCTAACACCTAACTTTCCTAATTAGATGTATTTAAAACAGTGAACTAAGTGTAACATAACATTCAGAAATATGTTTGTATAGATGAAACGTTTCAAAAATGTATAACATAACAAAATAAAAGACGATTAAAATCTGTAATCTTTCCACTTGTATGTCATTAGAAAGTACAACAAGTTTCTGCTTTGTCTAAGGATGGTATCAAATAGTAGTCTAAGAGAAAGCTGTGCTTAATGATAATTAAGGGACTTAAAAGTAAAAAGAGATGCTTCATATTGCTTGAGTAATCTTAGTTATAAATGCAGACGCTCTCTCGGTGCCGCGCCGGGTCTAAATATCTAAATATCTAAACATATTGTAGCGCATTCGCCCCAGGCAGAGGCCGAAGAGCACCCGGCTGGGGTGCACGGTGAGGGGCAGGACAGGAGTGAAAGTGGTCAGGGCGGGGTTTAGGAAGGCCGCTGACCAGTGTGGCTGTCCCACAGTGAAGTGGGCATACGGGAGGAATCCGTTTTCCTTGTAAATAGTTCCCTGCTTCTGCACCCCTGGGTGTTACTCTCTCTCTTTTCTCTCTCTCTCAGGCACGTGGGTGGTGTGTTGGCTCACGCTGTTGGCGGTCGGGGTCTGCTGTCTGCTGTCTCTGGTTGGGGGCGCAGGAGAGCGGGCTGACAGGTGGTGACGGGGAAAAAAAATAAAGGGAGTTCTTATGTCCATCCTATCCGAACCCGAAAGTATTACAATATGTATCTACATAGCAGGTGGTGTACAGCTTTTTAGTATAGATTACACTTTTCTAAAATGTATTTAAAAAATAAAATTGATTACAAACGGGGACAAAGCTATGCTGAAAGTTGATTAAGATACTTAGAAGACAAAGATAACAATTTATGTGGCATTTGTTAATTAATAATATCAATGTATGATTAATAACCTTTTAAATCTGAAGGGAGATCTAAAGGGATCCCCCCACACACACACACGATAGAAGCAGGAAGCAGGGACAGTTGTCAGAAGGAAAGAAGGTGACTATTCATTGTTATTAAAAATGACTTAAATTCGATCATGTTGTGATATTTAGAAATATAAAAAGTCAATTAATACAACCTGTGGGTGATTAACCCAGCACATAGACCAGCAGAATACCAGGGAGCTCACATGGGCAGAGGTGAAACAGCCCTACACAGCCCTGTCACAGTACACGAATATGATTATATCTTATTAATTTCTTTAGATACGTGATTCCATATTATATTAGCAAAAAAACTTAAAACTACCACTTTTTTACACGCTATTTCTCATGTTAGTTAAAGACTTCGATGCTTAAAATGTTTAGGGAGAAATGGAATACTGGTGTGTATTTTTTCTTTAAAGTACCGAGACCATCCATATACTGTATGTTTATGTTCCAAAATAAATATCGTTTATGGCCTTCACACGCGTTACAGTATGCTCCTATTCTTTTTATGCTCAGCTACTAAGATTTCCCTTCAGTGGTAAAATTCCATATAAATATTCAATACTAAAACGGGCACAGTACAGACATTTAAATCTTTCTACGACCGACCAACGCACCACGAGTGCCCCTGTCGGTCAACCAATCACGTACCACGGTATTTTGCGTCCTCGCGCATCGCCAATTATGCGTGGTACGTGTCTGTGCCGCGCACTTTGAATGGCTGCATCTGTAAAATAAAGTTTTATTATTATTGTTATAGAGAAACATGATCAGATTTTCCCTGGTTCAGAAAAAAAAAATCTAAAATATACTAGTTTGTCATTCGTCTCACACCCTCTTTGCTAAATGATTTTGCATACTAATCTGATCAATCTAACTACCTATTTTCTCTGCTTTCCCTATCCCGCTAGATTTATAAAATCTTCTTCTTAAAATGAGTCATTTCTAAATACCTGTTTTCACTGTCAACGTCTTGCAGCAACTCTGCAACAAAATATACACTTAGGTCAACCTGACAGTTCACCCTGCTACATACATGTACATTGAATAAACAAATCTTTAGATTTCTATATTTATGTCTTTATTTAGTGGTTTCATTAGTGACGAAAGTTAAACTTTCTTGGAAAAATGTCTTTTATGTATTGCAAAAAACTGTCTTGCTTTAACAAAATATAATTACAAATCATTTTGCCTGGCAATCTACCTGAATGCCCAACTATCTGAGAAGCCCTCCATAAAACCACGTTTGCTATTAATTCATATAAGAATTGCTGTTTTTATGTGTTCTAATTTTCTGACTCTTTCCCATCAAACCTTCATACTCTCCCTGCCAGAAATGCATTTAATTATTCAAGCCCCTCACTCTCTGCCACATCTATTTCATGTTTGCAAGTTCTTTTGTAATACACACCTTTCTGTGATTTTTTTTGTACATCTAAAATTTTGCAAGTGTTCCTACATCCCTCTTATGCATTATGTCTATGTCATGGCTTTTTTCATATAAAAACTTTTCCGAAATAACCACATGTAAGACTTTGATGCTGAAAATGTTTAGGAAGAAAGTGGAGTACTGGTGTGTATTTTTTCTTTAAAATACCAATACCAGCCATATACAGTTTACATAATATGTTTATGGTCCTAAATTAATAATTTATGATCATCAGACGCATTATGCTCCTCTTCTTTTTATTCTCAGCTACTAAAATTTCCCTTTAGTTATAAAATTCCATATAAATATTAAATACTAAGTGGATTAAAACATGCACAGTAAAGAGATTAAATGATTAAATCTTTTCACTACCAACTAATGCACCATGAGTGCCCCTGTCGGTCATTTTGGCCAGCCAATCACGTACCGCGGTATGACAGTAATAGTTGTGTGCAGTACGGGTTTGTATCACGCCTTTTGATTGGCTGCATCTGTAGCAGTGTCTGCCTTAAACAATGACTGGAAAACAAAGGAGGAGAAATAAAATTATTTTTGAATATCTGCACTTTAACAAATTTTACTAAAAAAAATCTTATTTCAGCTACCTAGATGGTCAGCATACAGCAGCAATCATTGGTGACACTGCCGATGTGGGTGCACCAAGGTTTTTGATGAAAAAAAGTATTCTAAGTGATTTGACTGGTCAGTGAATGAAATAGTTTTTATTATTCTTAGGCCTATTCAGAATCCCAAAACTGTTTTTCTCTCTCAGTCACTAGAAATAAAAGAATAAGTAACATCACACCCTCCCAGTGTCCCAGTAGGTCTACCAATGAAGGTTGTGAAGAAAAATAACATACAAAAAGCACAATTATCTGAACCAGGAATAAAAACTAGATGCAGATAAAGCACTGATAAACTAGAGCTTTCAAGGTGGTTCTGAAGGTCAGTTTTTCAGACTCATTAAAAATCTGGAGGATTTGCTGTGAAAAACATTAGTTACTGAAATGGGGACTCATTCTTAATCAGTATTGCACTACAATTTTGCCTGGTCCCTATTACCAGTGGCTATGTAATCTTAATTTTATAAAAGATAAAGCATAACTCTGCCTCCTACATATGGCCAACTCATTTTCACCCTTAAGACATCTTTCCTATTTTTGCTAAGTAGATGTAACTTTTTATTTTTCTGAAAAAACTTTGAAAATGAAATTCTCAAAGAAAATAAAAATAATATTGTTAAAGCTTTAGATGATTGAGAAGTGTCTCTTAGATTTCATATAAAGTTTGTGATACTTGAAAGGGTAAACACTTCGAACCTTAAAAGAGAGAGGATGTTTGCTGAGGTCTGGGGGGGTCCCTTGAGCAGAAATAATTGTAGTTTATCTTAATATACACAACTATGTTGTGGGTTAATGATTGCCAAAGAGCAGTACAGAAACAAAACAATACAAGATCACATTAAGAGCCCAAAAAAAGGAGAAAGGGGGTAGAAACAATAAGCAGGCAATGAGGAGAAGAGAGGAGTCCAGAGGAGTAGGGACGTGAAGCTTGCACCAGGCAAGAGCCCCTACTTCATGATCATATCAAACCTGACTGGAGCTAAATATTGGAACCTTGTTAGATAGAGCGTGCTTTTCTGTGTTTTTAGGGAACTTGGGGTTCCTGGTTAAAAGTACCTCACTTGGAAACACCTTTCCTGCTTATGGCACATTTTTTATGGATAGGGATAAAGGCTCCTTCCGGGGTGCAGAGAGAGAGATTTAACTGAAGGTTGCTTCATATTTAATTAGAAGGCAGCTCATCTCTTATGTGGCCTTTGTAGGTACGCTGGGCAAACGTTCCGAGGTCAAATTCTTCCAGCATGGGGGTACCTTTAAAGCGGAGACGACGGCACCGAAATTTTTTGGTGCGCCTTCTCTTTAAAGCCCTGGCCAAATATGAAGACAGTACGTACAGTTATAATTCAAACAGAATTAAAAACTACACATCCCAGTTACCATGGTGGTGCTTGTAATCATTGCGTTTAACCAACGAAACAGGGCGAAAAATCAGTCACATGACTTGGGGGCAGAGTTTCGAAAGCTTGATCAGCAACAAATTGAAATTTATACGATAGGCTACCTCAGACTGTCAGTTACACGACTGTGTATGTCGCTTAAGCCACTCCTATTTGGCATTTTAGTTATGGAGGCGAGAAGATGCCCCCCCCCTCTGGGTGCCTGATTTGCCGCCATCTTTAACTGTTCAGTGTCCGAATCACAGTAGCTACGCGTACAAAATAAAGTTCATCCCACCTACAAAACATATATATTTTTGTGGTAAGAGGGAGCAAAACATCAGTATTTACTGCTATTAATTACTGTACGATTTGAGTTGAAATCTGAGCCTAAATATAAAGTTAAAATCTCGACAAAGCAATGTAGGAAATACAGAGAAAATAAATCCTTTCTGACATCTAAAATCTAAACTTTCGATCAAGGTCTCTAAAATGAACAAGAAAAAGAGGTTTTTTGGAGGGCAATTACGCTGTGTTTATATAGAATAAGTGATTTATGAGCAATCTAATTTCTTGTTCATTTAAAACAGTGAAATGTCAGCTGCAAAAGATCGCACCAGAAACAGCACTCTCTCTGCCTGTCATAGACGTTCAGGAAAGGGTGAATGAAGTCATGTGTCATGTGTGACTTTTAGCTTCCCTGATAGCACTCTGCACTTATAAACATCCAGATTGCTATATTTAAAAGCCTTCGCTCTTCCACACCCAAAGAAGTCTCCACAGCTGAAACACATTGTGTTTCTTTTCATCTTTTCAGCATGGAATAAGTCTTTACTTGTTCCTTTGCAGCCTACGCATGCTGACACAGATACCTACTTGAGTGCTTCAAAAAACTTGGATGTCCATTAGGCAAGGCCTGTATTTTCTATGTTGGCTATTCCCTAGTATGTCATTTCCATATACTGTAGGTGTTTATCTAGTTTAGTTCAAATAATTGTCGAAATACAGGCTCAACTTAAAAGGTTAATAATTACTTAAGTCAGTTTTGTCACCTTCCTTATGGATGGTCACTATGTGAACTATTCTTCTGTCCATGGGTATGAAGGAGAATTTTAGCATTTACCTTTATAAGTGTATAAGACGGTGACTATTTGGCTTTGCTTAGTGTATTTTTCCTAGCAACAGTATGAAAGGACAATTGCAAGCATTTTATTTGACGTTTTGATGCTATGCTAGAAACTGCAGAATATCTAGCTAAATTTCACACCTTTTATGTATATACTTCCTTTTTTCTGTATACAAGGTAAAATTGCTTCTTAAGAATAAAGTGGTCAATTACAAAGAAGTGTTTGTAGAGAGATAACAACTCCTTATATGAAAATTTAGAATGAGCTAGCCTAAGTGAATCTGCTGTATAAAACCCATTGCATTTACCATCTCATCTGAGAGGCTGCTCTCAGATCTGTATGATTGTATCCTCTCCATCAGCATGAATAAAGGACTCTGCTGGACCACACCTAACCTGAGTGAAGAGTTTTCTTTGACAGGTACCATCCCTGACTTGAGAGAGGCTTGTAAACACACCTCTCATTTTTTTGTATACAATTAGCAAGCTATCAGCGGGTCCTGGGGATTTATTTATCTTGAGTGCTTCAAGTACATGAACCACTTCTGCTTCTTCTATGCTAATACGTTTCAATAATTTCTTTCTGCGTTCTGTAGCACATTGCTAATTTCTTCCTTTGTGACACCTGAGTAAAATGTTTGTTTAGCACATATTCTATTCTATCTACATTCACTTGGATTCATTTTACTTAATTGTTATCCTACATATTCCTTTTTATCTCTCTCTTGGCCTTTCATTTTAACTTGTGCATGCAGTTCAATGTACTCTTTTTCTTTAACTGGGTTCTGTTATTTTTAATAATTTAATTAAGTGCTTTTTTCTCTTATATTTTTCCTAATTTATTTGCTGAACTATTTGGGATCTATTTTCTAGATTTTGATTTGCAAGTTCATAGGATTAATATATTCAATGTTTCAAGGACAATCTTTTCAAAGTGTTGCTATCCTTTTTCCACTGATACCATATCTATCTTATTTCTGTCACGCCCAGGCTGGGAGCAGGGGCAACCAACACATTTGCTCAGAGATTCATCCCTCCACCAGTTCCTTGCAACCTAAGTCAGAATGCTAATCAATTAGGGCAATTACCATTAGGCAGGCTATTTAAGACAGGACTCTCTGCTAGACCAGTGCTACAACAATAGAGCTAACTGCGTTAAACTATTGCTGACATGCCACTAAAACACTATCCTACTAAACTATCCGAGCATTTACCCAAAAGAGATTTCCCACTTCTTCACCAGTTCCAATTTAGAAAAAGTAATTAACTGTCTGTTAAAGCCAGGTAAGCCTTTTCCTTCACAATCTCCTTCACAGACAGAACACAGACTGCTATCTGTAGCCTTTGAATATCTAGCTAGTCTGCCTGTTCATTTTTCTCTTGCCATCTCTCCTTCCAATCATCTTTCTGGGTTCCACTGTAGCCCTGAGCTTGGGTCTTGATCTGTTAACTCACTGCAGCACTGCTAAACAACAGATGCAACATAACAATTCCATTCTCCTTTTCTTAAACTGTTCATCAAAGTCTGATTTCCTGAACTTTTCATTTGGACTCAATCTGAACAACTTTCAGAAACACATTATAATAATTGTTCTCTCCCCTCTGTTTGCCTCACTTGATTGTTTGAAAAGACAAGTTTTACCTGTTGTAGGAAGTATGAGAGTGCAGCCCTTTCGGGACCACATTCCCAAAAACCTCTGTGAAAATAAGCTGCAGCTCTCAGTCATCTCAACAGTCACTCAAGAACTGTTTGAATAGCAGGAAGCAGAAAGTTTTTCCATGTCAGTCAGAATGATGTCTCCATTCTAGATGACAGAAACCAGAGCCTCTGTGCCCTGTACTCACCAGAGAAAAAAGGACTGATTGAGGACCAAAGAAGCAATACCCCCTTATCTTTATTTAGCTGTAATGTTGCATATCTTATTCTTGGTTTCTTCCTGTTTGAAATGAAACAAGAAGTTTGTTCATCTCATTCAATAAATTATTTGAGAAGGATCTCAATGGGTAAAGACTGAAATATTCATTTTTATGGCTTCTTTTCTAAATGTCTTAAACCACTCTAATGTTAGCTGTCACCACCTGGTCATTTATCATTTTTGAGATTACTTATTGCTATATCTAATTCTTGAAATAAAGTCTAAAGAAATCAAAGGAATTAGTAAAGGTTTATTCTGTGCTGAAAAGAGAAGAAAAGAAACACAAAGTTTTGACTGTGGAGTCTTCATCAGGTGTGAGAGAGAGGAAAATTGACAGCTAATAAAGCATGGGAGAACAAAAGCTGGGAGTGGAGAGGGGGCAGGAACATAAGAGAAGCAGAGTAGATATTCAGGTGGTGTGAAGTTGAGAGAGGTGAAGAGAGCTGTGAAGTCAAACCTGCAAATGAATAAAGAGGAT